AATCATAGAATGTTTTGGGTTGGAAAGGACCCCTAGAGGTCATCTAGTCCAAGCCCCCTGCAGTGAGCAGGGACACCACTAACTAGATCAGGTTGCTCAGAGCCCTGTCCAACCTGGTCTTGAATGATCTTAAAGGGCTTTTCCAATCTAAACGATTCTGTGACTCTATGAAAGGGCAGAGCAAAGGCAGCACAGGCAGGTGCCTCACTATGTCCTCCCAGCCCTGTTCACAGGACTGGGCTTGTCCCTGCTGAGGGCTGGCAACCTCACCTCGTGGTCCCCTGGCTTGCTGCCTGCCAGCCATGGGCAGCCAGGTTTGCTTTCAGGCTCCAGCGGGTTTGGGCCCCTTTAATTTGTGCTGACGAGGTGGGAGGTGGTGGGGCTATAAAAGGTCTGCAGGGACCAGCCAGGCACCTGTGGAGGGTTCCTGTTCTGGCTGGGCAGAGCTGTGGCAGCCCTGCCTTGCTGGGTGGAGGGTGGCAGGAGCTCAGGTAAGAGTCTTCCTCTCCACTCCAGCGTTGCTGCTTTTCACCTGGAATTTCCCTCCTCTTATTCTGAAACCTGGTTTTTCTCTGGAGCCTCTGCAGGCATCAGCAGAGGTCTCTTGCCCTGCTTGGTACGCTGGGGAGCCTGCTGGGGCTGCAGTTTGAGCCTCTGCAGGTGAGCTTATTGCCTAGGGGGAAAAAAAAGAAAAAAGGTTGAACTGGGGCCAGCAAACCCTGTGTCTGGTGGTCTTGGCCGCTGTGAGGTCCAGGTTTGTTTGGGCAGCTGGGGACCTTTCTGTGCTGGATGGTGGCATGGGCCCGATGGGAAGGAAGGGGAGCTGTTGATGTGAAGGGCTTTAAGTGAAGTGAAAGCTGTTTTCTGATAGCTTTAAAAGCTGTGGTTTTATATTCCTGTCTTCACAAATAAAGCTCTCGTGATATGTATATGTAGACCATGCGTGGATTGAAATGAGCAATGTTGCCCCCTAAGCAGGAGCAGGGTGGAGGAGATGGGCCAGAGAAAATAATTATGGCCCTGGTGAGGAATACTTTGATTAAAAATATTAATGAGTTCCTCCAACTCTCAGCCAGAGAATACTGTAATAAGGTGGTAAACCCCTGAGTGGATAACGCACGCTGCTAATTCCTCTATCCGTCTTCCGCTGCAGCAAAGCTCCTGTTACAGTTGGGATTTTTGGTATTCACCTAATCGCCAGGCTGCAGCTTGATGTTGCTCATCACCCCCTAAATGGTAGCTTTAACAGGAAAAGAGGGTAAAAAAAATGGGTGTCCCAAGAAACTAATTCCCTAGCTTCAGAAAAGTCTCTTCAGACTTTACGAAGGGAGGGAGCAGTTTCTTTGCCTTGGCTCTGTGGCAGTGCTAAGCTGTTGGTCGTGCACTGAAAAATCACATCTGGGGCAAATCCAATTTTCAGGCAGGTTTGGCTCCAGCTGCCATCTCCCAGAACAGGGACTTTTATGTTTCCAGGTGATGATGGAAAACTCTGCTTGTGCTTTCTCTCCATATCAGGATACTTTTTTTTTCCTTTTGTTTATCTATGGCTTTGTCCATACTCAGATTAAAGCCTTGAGCCTAGCATAGACCTGGATCCTTTGAGATCCCTGGTGGAGGTTTTTGACCGAAACCCTTATTTCTTCAATGATTAATCTTAATAACGTGCATTGACATTATGAACAAATAAAGGTAAGTAACAAGCCTTCCCTACCCAAGCTAGACTAATTATTGGTAGTTCAAAACTTTAAAATGAAGGATAACTTTCCTACCCCATATCTTTGGAAAATTGGTAGGCCATGCTGCATCTAGAGACCAACAGGACAGCGGTAGGGGTGTATCTTCTACTCAGTTCCCTGCTAATACCCAATTTACAAGGAACACCTTTAGCTGGGAATTGTTTTCAGCTGAGGTGTGTGGGTACTGGCAAAATGAGCTGTATTGCATTAATGTCCTCTTAAAGATTCAAAAATGTTATGCAACAAAAAATTGCCAATTCATGCTGCTTCTTTAATAGGCTTTCTAATGTATACTTTAAAAATAATAAAAAAAAAGCCTGGATTGCAGAGTTTTCTTCTCCAGCTGTCTAGGCTTGCTATCAGGAGCAGCTTCAAAGCCATTTTTCTTTTCATATGCTTGTCTGGTGTGTCTAACTGAGCATGATTACTTTTCCCTAAACGAATAGATAACTTTGCCTTATAAATAAGAACACCACCAGGATTTTTTGTCTTTGACACTATTGGGCTGGATCTCAGGATGGCTTAGTGTAGCGTGTGTTCATTATTTAATGAAATTTGTTTTGCGGGGTTTTTTTCCTTCTACCTGAATTTGTTTCCAAGTGATATATTTTTGTGGTAGTGCATTGAAACGCACTTGAAATATTAATGAGGCAAGTAATGGCCCATTTCAATTGAAGTTTGCCATAATATGCAAGTAATCCTTCACAGGTCTCTGTTTTAGTAACGATGACGACAGAAACATCTCATTTTCTCCCCAGCCAAGGATTCCGGTTGGGTTTCGGTGTGTGGTGGTCATTAGCTATGCGGTGGCTGAACTCATTACGACAGCTGCCGGGAAAAGGGCTCTTGCTGGTGCGCAAGTGCTTGACGCAGAACTGCTTTTTCAGGCTGTGTGCTCGCTTCTTGTCAAACTTCCACAGCTCTCAAACAGGTTGGCTCCTAGGAAAAACAGGCCAACTCTTAAGATGGTGAAATGCTTTTATGGCTGTAATGACTTCTGGTCCAAAGCTTGAGGTTTTACCACCCCAGCTTGGGCAGAGTTCTGAGCTTTTCCTGGGGCCGGCAGGGAACCAGGGGGTGGATGGAAGATGAGACTTTGACTTAACGTGCCAAAGGGATGCTAGGGGGATGTGCTGACCTCCCCACCTTGCCGTGCATTGCCTAGTCCAGCTGCTGCCAGCTTGACATTATTAGTAGAAGGCCCCTGAGATGAAGTTGCCTTTGAAGAGCTTGCCTGAAGGGTCAAAATTAAACAAACGAGCACAAAAGCTGCCTGTGGAGTTCAGCATCACCGGTGGGGATGGCTCCTCACTGCAGTGGCCAGCTCAGAAATGAGGGCAAGTGCCTGGAAGGAGAATGAATGCACTACAGAGAGCTCAATCTTCTGGTTTTACAAGTGGTTGTGGCAGGACCTTTGCTAATGTCATGGCTTTCCTGGAGTCTCAAAACCCTCAAAGCCACCTTCCAGGAAACACAGCCTCCTTCATGACCCCAGAAGAGAAAATAGGTTTTGAAGACTTTAAGAGGCTCAGCAGCTTCAGAGTGAATCTGTGAGAGCTTTGCATCACCTACAAACCCATTTTCCTTAGATCGCTGACTTCTTTCAGGACTGTCAGGCTGTCTTGTGCTTAAGCTCTATGCAGACCTTGCAATGAGAGATTCCCTGTGTCTGGGTGTGTTGCTGTGAACTTGGAGCAAAAGCTGTTGGTGCTGGGCTGGCACCGCAATGCATACACAAACCCTTTGCCACAGCCCTGCCCATGGGATTGGTCTGGCAAGGGCTACGTGAGGGGTGTCCCAGCCAACGCTGGGTTATCCACTGGCACAACTGAATGAGAAGTAAGTCTGATTGACTGTAGGCTGCAAATAAAGAAGCCAACAGCCTGAGCTGTTTGGGCTGCTTGAATAATAGATCAGTCCAGAGCTGTTCTATGGTTTTGTGCAGGCAGCAACCGCTCCAGGATCAAGGTGTGCGGCGCGGGGAGCGCTGCTCTTCTCTATATAACACCCGGTCCCTGCTCTATGTGCAGGGATGGAAAGCAAAAGGGAAGAAAAACAAGATGTGGAGATCCCTGCTCCATGAGGGAAATTGGCTCTGAAAGCAGACAGCTACCCCAGGGAGGCAGAAATATGTCCAAATCCTGGAAGCATAAATCGCACTGCAGCAAGTGCTTATCTGTAAGCCCTGTTGGGGAGAGCCAGGTACATCTTCTAACTCCCAGCTCTGCTGCTGGCTTGAAATGAAAGCATGAGCCTTGAGAAGGTACCTGGAGAGGCATGTTTATGGGAGAGGGGTCTGTAGGGGGACTTGGAAACCTCCTACTCTTACACCAGAGATCAGCTTCTGCCCTTTCTTCTTCCCAGAGCCGCCAGTCTCAGGGTCAAGTGGGCTGCCGTACTTCTTGCTTCTGTTCTCTCTTTTTTTGTTGTTGTTTTCCAGTTGTCACTGCTGGCTGACTACTATGGAAATTACCATGGTCCTGTTAGTGCTGGGGATGCTGGGGTACATGGGACCATGGGGATGAGCTGGTGAGTCGCTAGGGTGTTTGTCAGCTGGTAATTTGGCTCCAAAATTGTTGTCATTTCTTAAGCTGCCATCTAAGAGAGGGTCTGGATGTACTCATGGCAGAGATGCAAACACTGCGTCTCCTTTCTCAGAATACCCTGCACATGGCCCTGGTTAAGGGATATTTCTATATTTTCTTATACAAAGCCAGCTTTGTCTTTCTGCTGGTGGGCATGGGGCTTATTCTGGTCTCGTTTACACTGCTGTCAACTGGAAGTAACCCCTCTGAAGCCAGAAGATGAAATGAAGCTCCTTGCCACGTTTACATATTCTGCTCCTTACAGCATAATTTGTCCTAGTTTTTAAGTACTGAATGCCTTCGTAGGAATTTCATTACAGAGCGCAAGTTCTGTCAAATGCATTCTGCTAGTTTTTCTGGGGGTTGTTAAGAACAGTCTATTTTTTTCTGAATCCTTTGCACTGATAAGTATATTTGCCCATGCCACAAAAAATAATTAAAATTACAGCATGCAAGAAAATACAGCTTTGTGTCACATTCCTGGAAAAAAAGACAAGCTGCTCTTGGAGGGGAAGGGCTTTCAGTATCGGGAAAACTATCTCCAGTGGCTCTTTGGGAAGCAAATATGGACAATCTGAGGGTAATTTGGAGGATCTTGGACTTCTTGCCCAGTGGTACAGCAGTCAGTGCTGCTAATTGATTTCAACCCGTCTGCGAGATGAACACCTGCTGTGCAATATGGCTCTGCTAGCATCGCTTCTCCTTGCATGGCTGGACCTAAACCTCCGTCGTTGACCGCAAGACTGGGGGCACGTTTGCTAAAATCTGAACTCATCCTAGTGCAGTGTTAGCAGTTCTGTTGCGGTATGCTTTAAATACCTTGCCTTGACACTTATGCATTTTTGTGGATTTTAATGGGCTTCTTTCTTTCTTTCTAAGCAAATTTAATTTCATTACTAAATAATGCACATGGCCTCCAACCTGACTTGTGCTAATTACTCACGTGCCGAATGGGTTTTAAATCTTGTTTGGAAACGCTATGGAGTTTATTGTATTATTAAAAGCACCTAATGTGAGCTTTTCTCTTTTTTTAAGACTGCAATTGGTCTCCAGTGAAACCAAACAGATAACGCAATAATTTTTCACTAAACTAATTATCAGAGCGGAAGATGCTAATGTGTGTTGCCAACTGTGTCTCGTCAGTTGACATGCAGCATGGTCACGGCTGTTCAGCAAGACTTTACATCCCTGGAAGCAGAAAACTGAGGCTGAATTAAGCTCACCCCTTGCTCATTCTTTTGCAGCCATGTTAACGTGTTGAAGCTGGACCTACGCTTAGTGCTAATCAAATGTTTTTCTTCCACAGAGGACTTGCAGGGACTTGATTTACCTGGATTCCTAAGGGTATCAGATTTCTGGGTTTCCTGTTTGCAAAGGTTCCAAGTACCCAATCTTCAAAAAATCACGTTTCTTCAGCTGTGTTGGGAATGGAGGTACCCAAAGTCAGTGACCTCTCTTGAAAATATTCATGAAATGTTTAAAGAAACATTGAAATAGGTCTCTGCACAAATACGTGGTCAGGGTCACACATATGTGTGCTGGGGCTGACACACATTACCAAGAATGACTTCTCACTTTCAATTAATTGCAGTATGCAATAAGGGTGGGCTTTAAAAAGTGACGAAAGAAATTAAGAGTCTGCAGAAATCCTGCCCCTGGGTGTGCAAAGCCTGCAAAAAGCCCTGGGTGCTAAGAAGAAAGTCCTTTTCTTGGAAAAGAAAAAAGAAATTAAGAGTGAAAGAAGGAAAGTGAGGTTTCACCTTGAGCAAATGCAGCTTGTGCTTCAGTGGCTCCTCTCGGAGCAGGCTACACTTGAAAACATAATTGCAGCTTTGGTAAGGCCTGGGATTTGCCTGTCTGATTGCTGTTACTCCCCAAAACAAATAAACAAAACACAATTATCTTTGAATGTTACCCAGGCTAATGTGTAGAACTGGCACTGGGGAGTAAAGCGAGTAGAGGACACCAGGCTAAAATCATTAATTGGTAATGGAGTTTGTCTATTTGTCAACAAGACACTCAGCTTGGAGAGCTGAACAAAAAGAAAGCAAGCTGCAGAAAAACAAACGCGTACTAAGCCTTGTCACTGATATTTATTTAACAGCCTGTCACAAGCAGAAAATGTGGATCAAAGGTAGGGAAGGCAAGGAAGGAGCCGCTTCGGTCCAAGGCATCCATTCTGCATCGCATCAGGGTTCACTTCTGGATCAGGGTACGTTCTGCCACATCGTGTTACATCCAGCGAGTTGTGAAATGATGGAGCCTAATGCAGAGTGAGTGTTGGGAAGGGGAAGGAAAGCAACAACTCGTTGTTTTCTTATTCAATGCTCACCGTGGATTTGAGGGTTACCCAGGAACGGAGATGCCGCTTTAAGTGAAGCAGGGAGTTATTTTGCCAGGCCACGCTCGGTCAGAGAGCGCTGCAAATTGCTTATGGGATTTGATGTTGTCCTATTCTGCCTCCAGAACAAATTGTGCTGGTAGGGGCTTCAGTTTTTCCTTTTTTAATCATTGCAAAATCCTTTTTTTTTTTTTTTAAAAAATAAAAATGACTGTTTTCTTCTTTCTACGTTTTTTTCTTAGTCTCAGATCATTTTACTGGGCTGCACCATCCCCTTACTCAGCTACAAACGTCGTTCCTGCGCCCTCAGTGTGAGCACGCAGGGTAAGGCTCATTGATTTTTGTGATGGAGGTTGTGGCATGTTGCCTCTCCTCCAGGGATATGGCTGGAGGGATGCACATTTCCCCTTTGGTCACCGGAGCAGAGGTGACTGCTGGCCCCAAAGGACCTCCAGAGGTAACTGCCCTCGGATGTGTTTTCTGCCAAGCAATCTGAAAACAGAGCTTAACTGGGTAAGGAAAAGAGCTGGAAAAAGATGGTGGGGGTAAGAACTGAGGGTGCAGAAGGAGACAAAATGCCAGTTGAAAAATAAGCTTTGTTCAGCAATCAAAGAACAAAATGAACTTGAAATTCAACCAGTAATTTTCATGTCTTTGCATCAGAAAATAATTTGGGAGGAGAATTGAAAGAAATTATTGGAGTTCTTTTCAAAACCTTTAATGGCAAATGCTCCTTTTCCTTCCTAGCCAGCCCCAGTGCTAAGAAGATGAATGATCCGTTAGAGAAATTGCAGCAAATAATGGAAACAACTGATTTATGGTATTTTTTTAGTGCGCTCTGTGAAACCAAAACACTTCGTGTACTGAGCAGCTTCTGAGTGTTATTCCTTAAATTTAGCTCCTCCGCGTCCACTGAAGATGACTGTGCAGGTCTGTGGCATCAAGGAGCTGGCCCGGTGACTTTCCACTTGAATTCTTGGTGCTGGTGGAAGCACTGGCCACCTTAGCTGCTGAAGCTGTGGTTATTAATCACATCCTCCAGCTGCAGAATGCGCACCTCCTGGCCACGCTCCTGTGCAGGAGATGTCACCTCCGGGATTAATTGGTATTGATGAACTTGCTTAGCAACCACACACCAACTGGTACTGACCCCTGGGGATGTGCAGCCTCCCCATCCTCGGCTGATAAGACCAACCCTGCTGCAGAGCAATACTGGGGGGCAAGAGGCAAATGAGAGTGGGCTCGTGCCAGCTCCTTTGTGGCTACTGTGGCACAGTGGTGGCAGTGTGGGCTGCCTGGGTGTGCAGCGGTGGTGCTGTGTTTTACACCTGAACTCTGTTTACCTGCTGTCTAAGCCTAGACTGGCAACTCTAATATCCAGCTGTGGGCTAACCAGAGCCAACACCTTTTGGTTTCGCAGATGTTTCTCATATTTCATTAAACTGATGGCTTTGGATAGGAGTTGCAGCAGTAGCATAATCCACAGGCTGACAGTGCCCCTGGAGACTCGGGCTGGGGATAATCACATCCTTCTTATACTGCTAATAATTAATTATTAAAACAATTTACCAATGGCTGTAGTGGCTTCTTTAAATGATGAATTGATATGATTTAGCACAGCTATGAGAGATGGGCTTGATGCAAATATTACTGAGTGCAAAGCCAACCTGCATTATAGCCTGTTGAGGTCAGACTCTATTAGCCAGAATTCCTCTTAGCCTAAATTCTCTTCATCTATGGAATAAGTTTTTCCTACAGAAATTATTCTAAAACCTCCAACGACAGAGCTGCGTGTGCTCTGTCATGGGGCAATGTATGGTCTCATTCACATAAGTGGAGGAGAGGGGCGTTTATATAAACTCCATCCATATGTATCGTAGTATTACCAAACATAGTAAGCCTGTCAGATACTTTAGTTAAAAATTGATGAACTTTGTGTGCATGAATAGGTGAAGTTATATTTACTGGCATGAATTGAATGGCTCTAATGGCAATCAAAATGGCTGTTGAATGGGTGTAACATCTATTAATTGAATATGGAAACTAGTTTTACCTGATTCTTCGTTGTAATAGGTTTCCAGTATTTACACAACATAACCGTCACAGAAAGTTTAATTAGATACCTGAGCTCTCCTAGATCTTGTCAAATTAATTTCTGAACTCTTGACATTTCTGTGACAATAGTATCGTAATTCTTCTTGCAGCATTTTCTTAAGACGACTGTAATAACTAGCAGTCATGTCTGACAAAATAAAGATAAGCTGTTATTTCTCTCGGAGCGATGACAGTTCCATTTTTCAAAAGAGAAGGAAAGGCTGCTCACCGGTTTACTTCCTGCAGCAGCAAAATTTTCAGGCGTGGGCCTGGCAAAACAAAGAGTTACTTGCTGTAGGTAAAGGGTTTTATTTTTTTTCTTCGCATCTAACCATTGCGCTTGGATGGAAAGGTCAGTTGTGTCAGAGATGGTTAAGGCTTTGAAGAAGACGGATGTGTGTATGCAGAAAGTACATAAAGGGGATTGGAACAGCTTGAAAGAATCGGCAGAATTGGAAAGATCTGGGCTTTAAATTTCATTCTGCTATTGAAGTCATTGTTAGCGCTCT